GTGGTCTATTTCTTCCTTTTGAATACGAAAACGACATTTAGACTCACGAGACAAGATAATGTTTATTTGGCGCCGTACAATGGCATGAAGTATCCCAACGGTTCTATCCCCCAAATATAAAAAAGCACACCCCGATCAGGTTCTTTTTTTTTTTTTTTGGTTCTTTTTTATTTCTTCGATGGCTCTTTCTTTTTCTTTTTTAACATTTCCTCTTTTCCTTTCACATTTCATCCCCACGCATGCTCACCCAATGGATCGTATTTTTAACCTTTTACTATCTTCTTCTGGGTTTGGAAGTAAAAATTGCGACAATAGAAAATTTCACTCTGCAATGTACTTAAAGGTGTTTCCCAAACAAGAAAATGGCAGAGTTATATTTCATCGACATGGGTGTTTTACGGACTCTTTTTCGATATAGGAGACAACACAAGAGGGAAAATGTCTCTACACTTAATAGTAAACGAGAAAATAGCTTACTTTATCACAAAAGAGTACGTTGTAATATTGACGGGCCACACTTTTGAAAGGGAACTTTCTTCTGTAGCAAACATTCCTCCCTTAACTAAAACAAATGCATTTGAGGAGTAATACACAGGCCCAGGCGGTGTTGGACACGAACCACGTGACCAATTTTGTCCAATCACATCATTGCAGATGGCGGACTGATTCTTTCACCTTTGTGCGGGTAGTCTCTTCGATTTTCTTCGATTTTCGCCGTTTATCAAGTGATTTACAATAATTTTTTTTGGAAAAGTTTGAGTAGACAGATGTAGCAAGCCGCAGTTCTTAAAACAATATTATGTATGTTTGTTTTCTATTGATATTGTTCGTTGTAATTCTTCATGCGCATAATCCCTTTGTTTAGTTAAGAGCTATTGTTTATGCTTTTCAGTCTACATCTTCTCTGTGTTCAACGACCCCTGACCTCCATTTTTAGCATAATCTATTAGTTTTGTTGTTCAAGAATCTGAAATGGTCGGCGGGCCCCAGCGGGCCCCACCGTTTTACGGGTCAAAATGCCACTTGAAGTATACCTACGTGCGTGAATCGTGACTCCATTCCGCGGCATCTTTAGTATTATAAATATCTCGCGCGGTCACGATCGAACCAGCTTAGAATACTTTCACTACACGATCAGCTCAGAATACTTTCTTTCATTTCCTTTTTATTCGTCTTTAAAAATATGATATTTTTTTGTAATATATATGTCATCGTAGCGGCCCTTAGCCCCTCCGTTTTGAATAGTTCCTTGGCTTCTTCCTTCTGCCCCTGTCCGCAAAGAGTTAAACCTTCTGTGCGAGATTCTTCATGATTCCTAATAAATCATACAAAACATAATGAACAGATAAAACTGAATTCATACGGAAAAAAATGACTAGAAAACCTCCGCTAACTTGCTGGTGTCCTCAACAACAACAAGTTAGAGGAGGAGGATTCCACATTTGCCTTGGCCTCCAGCTTCTTCTGGAAAACCAGAATAGGTTGCATATTATTTTCGATGGGAAGATCAGTATCCTTCATGCACATGTCAATGTACCTGGAAAAAAAATCTGCGGTGAGAAGAGCGCTTAAGAGAAGCTTACGTTCAAAATCAAGCACTTTAGGCACATGTAAGAACGATGTGTTGATACGTACCGCGTTGCTTCGATCCCAAAATTATCTCTTCGACACAGAAAATAACAGTTTTGTGAAGCCAGCAGTAAACGCCGATTGCGGCCACCTTTCCAGAGAAAGATCTCAAATGAACATGGCATGTTATGTCCTTTAAAAGCGGAAGAAGACCTGTAATGCCCATATCACACTATTTCTCCCGGTATTTTTATGGCGTAACGAGAGATGTGAACAAAGCGAAAGTCAGATGCAAATGAGCCGTTTTCGATTTTTTCCCCATGATGCCCTTCGGACCGTGTCCAACACCGCCTGACACAGGCCGAAGGACAATCTAAATAATTCCATAAACGACCGCGCGCTATCCTAGATCCCAGGCCATCAGACAAATTCTAAAATGAGCTTGACTAAGGCAACTGACAGTGTGGTTAGAAAATGAAGTGGTTGGAGAAAGTTGATAACTAGAACGTGACTCTCCTCGAGGTAGAAATGATTTAGCCTTGTGCTAGCTAGTTGATAAAGTACGCAAATTGGCTATGGTTTTGATGCTGTTTTCCTGAGGGTTATGGTTGTAGCTTTCTATCAGAAAACTTAGGCAAATTAAGTCCCGATTTAAGAAGTATCATTTTCCAAAACTCCAACCACTGTTCCTGCAATTTCCAACGGCCAGAAATCAAAATATATAATACTTCACGAAGGATGCCGATTCGTCATCTCGTTCAAACGATTAACGATGAACGTGACAAACGATTATAAACGTAGGGATCATAAATGTCTTCTAGTTCCTTTCGAGCATTCTTCAATAACCGAGTGGTCAGTATGTAGATGAGGAAGTTTGCAGTTTAGTTTGTGCAGAATTAAAAGAGGGGCCAAGATTATAAGTGAAGGAATTTTGACGGGCAAAAAATGTTTTTTTTTGAGTAAGTTGCTTGTTCTTTTGAACAAGCAAGACCCTTGTAGCACGAGCACGGACGGGGGAGGGGGACGGGATTGATGGAACCCCTCCCTAGATATGTTGCAATATTTTGAAAAGATTTTACCTTCAATGGAAAGCCTTTGATCTTTTCTACAAGATGAGATATGTTTCATGTGTGGTGGTGCTGCTGGAGGCCTGTGACGTCACCAAACAAGGTTGCTGTCTTGGCTGCCATCTTGGATTTACCATTAAATCAAGTAAAAGCGGTGAAACTTGGCAATGTTTTGTGCATGACAAGTAAAATAACATCTGAATAAGTATTTCGCTTCATTTTCTCCACAAGATTTACTTTTAAAATTGGAAGACGTTGAAAAGACATGCAGTTTCACTCTAAAACTTGTCTCAAAATGCGCGCGAGGGATAGACGAGCAGCTACTAAAAACGTCAGGTGCTAATGTGTAATCGCAAGAGAGGATAAAGGGGACAGAGAAGGCATCCCCCATACACACCCTATCCATAGGTAATTCGTCTCGAGTTATTTTTAGAATAGGGATAAAGTTACCTCGCGCGCTGCGTGGATGTTTCGTGGAGGTTTCGCATGACTAAACGCCGTGCAAAACATGTCGATCGGGCGAAAGGCAATGAAAGCGTAAAGAGATCGAGCGCATTCCTGACTATTGAAGCGAAATGAGTCGGCGCTCACCTGGGAAAAGGGAATCGCTGGACTCTTTGACAGCCTGTGAAATCAGCTTTTAAACTGATTCGAGTTAAAACTCGAAGTTGTCGTAACTTCAGTGCTCTTAAATAGGAAATTTTGCCGGTCCATTGAAACCGGTCGTTTGTACAATAAAGCAAAAAGGACGCCAAGCGTTATTTTTGTTGCATAATTAAAGACTAATAAACGTAAAATATCAAACCAGAAATTGCTCTCTTCAAACTGAAAATTATAAATGATCCTGAGAGAATATTCAGTGTGTTAAGGATTTCCCCGCTGTCCTGTTAGGTCTATACGAGAGAGGAAGGGCAATTCTTTTTTAATTTCTGTTTCGCTGACACAGCTTTAGCAGAAATCTCTCGGTAGTCGTTTTCGTCGACAAAACGAATAGCAATATCGCTGTCCGCGTCTTCCGCCATTTTGTTCTGCGTCAATTCGTGAAGGACACGTGGCTCTGAGCGTGTGTCATCCACGCGGAACACATTTGCGCTATGTGATTGGTTGTTGTCAAATCCCCCCTCAAATCTGTGGTGTTAAAAATAACTCGAGACGAATTACCTATTACCTATGGAATAGGGTGTGTACGGGGAATGCCTTCTCTGTCCCCTTTATCCTCTCTTGGTAATCGTCTAGAAAAAAATGTCCGCAGAAAGAACTTGGAGGAGGGCGGGGGGGGTGGGGTGGTTAGCATTCACCCTCTCTCGTTCCCTTGACAATAATCTCATTAAAGGAAAATGAGCATGAAACAATACATGGCTCAGCTATTCAGCTATTACCATTTATGGTGACAACACCTTTCAGCCTCAATTTTAAAAATATTTGTTTTATTAAAACTAATTTTAATAAATATATCTTTACAATACTGTAATAAATACCAATTTACAACGTGCAACTAACTAGGCTAAACGTTTTCTCTCAATTTCTACAACCTGCTTCAAAATGTAGCTTGTAAACATACTCTCTAGTGGGGTTTAGGATTAAAAAAAAAAAGTTGTAAGCAGAAAGGGATATAGGGTCCCTGACCTCTAGCCTCGGCCACAAGATGCACGGCAATTTTTGGCATTTGGAGCATCAGGAGTTACGAAGTCCTCTAATACTGGTTAAACCTTGTTTCAGTGATGTATCTTTACAAGAAAATTTCAGATCGTCATCTGAGAGGGTTTCGTCTGGCAACATTCTTTTACAAAAATGAAGCTAAGTGAATGATTTTAAGGGGTTTGCTCACTGAGCAACGGTGAATATAAAATTTGTCTATAATATCACGAGTCAGAAAGACTTAATGTTATGGGAGTTTGCCTTTGCTCTGATTTCTGACTGTATAAAATGTTATAGTATACTGTGAGTTTGTAGAAAAACAAATGACATTACAAAAGGGAATAGTGGCTGTCATAGTTTTGATTTTTCTTACAACGAGAAACTTTTCAGCAACTTTGTTGAAAAATCGAGCAACTTCTGGCAACTTAAAAAGAATCTGATTTGGAGCCAAATTTAAAGGAATTTTGGAGCAACTTGTGGCCGAGGTTACTCACCGCGTTCCACAGTTACCCCGTTTACAGTCTACTACAAATGTTAAGGTTTGATCTCTATTTTTCAAGAAATACACTCTTTTAATTTATTTACAACCCTCTGCACAAATCACGGTGAGCAGAACCATGTCGCGGTCTATCAACTTGAGCTGGTATCTCTCTACACAAGGGTTCGGTGTTGCGTTGCTCTTGAATCAGATTGCATTATTTTGGCGTTTACATATTGCCCTTCGTCCTAGCAGTCCGCTTGCTCCGAGTGCAAAGCATTCTCGTCGCTATTGTCACTAATAGCCATGTCATCTTTTTCCCCATGGGCAGTAACGAGCAAGCCAGACTTCTCTTTAGCAGAGCCTTCAGAGATTCCTTGTTCCGTGGCGTTTATGTCATGAGGAATTTGCAACGTTGATATTGTCGGTTTGCTTTCTGTTGAATTTCCACACAACGAGAAAACCAGTAGAAGAACAGTTGAGGTTGGGTAAATGACACTTATCTTATGGGGAAAAAAATAAATAAATAGGTCATTCGATAAGAACTAGTTTCTCCAATATGACCATTATGTAAACAAGTGAAAGAATATATCAAAATAACAAGCCAGCAAACATGAAAAGAGAGAGGAAAAAAACATGAATTTACCAACTGAGCTATAAGGTTTAAAAACTTGGGGTTTTTAACTCTAGCCCTCTCTCAGAGCGACTCATGGGGTAGGGAACCTTGAACACCACTCGACTGTCACTATTACTCCAAGACATTTTTAGCCAATTACGCCTTTCGTCCGGTTTAGTAGTTCAGATTTTCTAATGGAAGAAACACTTTCCAGTTGATCTGCATGGAAGGGAGTTATCTTCCTCTACTTATGCAGAATGCGGATCTGAGAGTTGGAGCAACTTATTGTTCTGTTCTATTTTCGATACCGTTTGCACTTTATTTAAATAAAGCTTTTCATCTTCTTTAACACAGTCCACTTGGTAAGGGATTCTTCTCGTTTGATTGAGGAACTTGCTGCATCACTTCGCTGCAAGAATCAGTTACTTCCGCCCAAATTGTATAATTAACCTCACAGCCCATACAGAATGCTGATGAATTCACCGTCATAAGCACATCACGTGACATCACTTTTCTACGGTTCTTGAATTCTCCGCTTTTCTGCTGAAGAGAAGTAAACGATGAATCATTATTTATTAATGTTATAATCTCTTTTAAACTGTATTATGGTCATAATCACTGTTTTTTTCTTTTCCTTGAAACAAACAAAAAACATTAATAGATAATAACAACAATAATGAGCTTACTTCTCCAAAAACAGTATTCTTGGACAATTTACAGGGTCATTTGGTATCCCTCACGACGGCCTGTAAACTGGCCGGAAAAAAGGTAAAGCGGAATAACACTTTTATTCTTCGTTGAAGTAAGTTTTCAGGGTTGGGCTAGAAACAAGAACTTCCTTTTATCGCTGAAATAGTTTTACGTGATGAATCTGCAATTGAAAGTAAAGTCATTGAACCTGATGTATTCCCGGACGACCTAGGACGAGCGCTTGTTCTTGCGCGAAAGCGAAGTTAATGCAGGTCACTTCTCACCAAGAAGGCAAGTAAACATGAGAGAACTGTTGCTGAGTTGGCAAAAAAAAAAAGGAAAATTTGAAACGTCGAAAGGTTTTGGAAGTCTCGAAACTTACTCATAGGCTTGAGAAATCATTGTTTCAAACAGCAAAACGAAAATCAGCTCGTCATCACTAAGAAAAACAACGAGCATAACCAGAATTGACCGAAATAGTGGTCGGTGAGTGAGTTCAATAAAAATGCGAAGGTGCTTTCAAAATCCTTGAACAAGATAATACCCTGAATCCATTAATGCTATTTTTAGTGATGGTTAAAACTGCTTTAAGCCATACCTTCCATGGAGTGTACGTACTTGTCGAAAGCTTGCAAGTTAATCTGAAACCTTTTTAGTTGTCATTTTTCTAACGGAGCGATCGAATGCAAAATTTTGTGAGTTTGAAAACAAAATTAATCAACGGGGCAGACGTCCTGCATAAATTCCTTGCGCGGTTTAAACGAAGGTGACTAAAACAATATACAGGTAAATAAGCTTCCATGTAGCTTACATTATTTGTTAAAATATTCAGTCACAAAAAAAGAACGTACGCACATTTCACTCGACAAGAGCTCGAGCACAAAATTTTATACAGAAGATATACTGAGCAGTTTAAACTCCATTTTACAGATATACGCAAGAGTAAAACAGAATACTTGGAAGTAATATAATTAAGGGGAATAAAATATTGTCATTTTAACAAACTTTACCCTTTTCAAGCTTAAACAGTTTACTTCTTCTTTTGGCTTCGTCGCTTTTTTCTTTTTTCTGTTAAGTAATTTTCCCACAATTTTGTTTTTTGCAACAGACATCCCTTTGGCTTACTGGTAAAGTTTAAGCTTTGAAATCTTACTATATTTTAAGATTTCTATCGTTTTCCAGCGACTCAGCGGCAAATTAAATATGTTTGTTTTTGTTTTTGCAAAGAAGTGGACCCGCATTTCCCTCGCAATCGTGTTCTTCCCAGGGCCGTCGGGCAATACGAAAATTGCCTATTGGCGCGAACAATGTTTGATTACAAGATTTCATCGCTAAATCTCAAGGAAATAAACGGCACGGCAACAAACAACAAAAGAAAACTAGTTTGTTTTTCAAGCATCATTGTAATATTGCTTATGGCTCGAAAATTGCTATCTTCGAGCGGGGTATCTTTAACTTTATTTCCGCGCTGGCTTTTCTGTTAAGAAGAGTGTTGCCTATCTATGCTTGGTGTCCACCATGAATTTAAAGATTGCAATGTTTTGGCTTTTAAATATTTATTTAAAATTAACTGGTTGATAAATAAACTTCGTTAGAAACTATCACATCAGTGGACGAATAAGACAGATTGGTACTTTGATCTAATATTTAAGTTTTTCTAAGACAGTGGTTTTGCAATTAGGTGTAAGTGACAAAAATAACGAGCTGAGATGCGCAACTAAAAAAAGACAAAGAAAGAAAGATAGCCACTTACGTTGCTTCCTGGTTTAAACAGCATGGATCGGTGATGACAATTTCAGGACAGAAAATTTGTTGGCGTTATGTTTTCAGCACACGCAATCAGTCGTTAACAAGTGGGTAAAGTGCTTAAAACGTCGCTGCATAAATTCTGGGGACAGCTGGGATCGCGTTGGTAAAGAATAATGTACCTTGAAATCCATAAGCTGACCAGCACTTATTAGTTTTTACCCAAAATGTTAAGGGAAAGTTCATTGACGGCAATGATATTCATTACATTGAAAGAAAAATACACCTTGAATACAGAAAGCAGTTTTTTTTAAAATTATATATAGGACGCTTAATGCTATTCAGAGAAAAACGTCGCTGCATAATTAACACTGTGAACTGGGATAGCTATTAGCAACTTAGATGACAGACGCCAAATAAATAATTGGATCGGCATAAAGTAGTTTCCAAGCGAAAAATTAACGGAAAATTTATATACGACAATGGGTTTTATTACCCTAAATAGGCAAATACACCCTGCAGAAAGAAAAAATATATATATTTATATATTACATGTAGGAAGATGATAGTTCTGATGATAGTCAGAGCACTGTACTTACGTTTTCAATATCCCAAAACCCTTACCAAGACTTAGAATAAGTAACTGTTTTTCGCCTTGTGTATGATGTATTTTGGCAAATACATCAGCTTAAGATACTCTTGCGGCCTAGCGTGGTTATCAGCCCGATAGGTCTCATAATAGGAGGCCCTAGAATTAATTTAGCTCAAAGAACAACAATTCCATCCTAAATTACTCGCAAAGGCATTCCATTTAATGTAAAACACTGGTCTTAATATTTTATACTTCAACAAAGCGCTTGTGAAAAAGAGACAAAGTAGTCTCTCACGTGTATAAGTAATTTATTTAGCGGCCGATGTTGTAGTTATTAGACACCCACATCATGAAAATTAGTGTGGTTTTTTGTCGCAGTACAACATCATATTAATTTTTGCCCTTCAAAATGATGTATGACACGCTCTCTAAAATTGTATGGACTCCCACAAGCCGGAAACTATAAATTTTCTATCACGATGATTAACAATATTGTCAATTCATAAATCGGCTTCTGCAGTGACACAGACATGCACTAGAGAGTTTTAAATGTATTTGGGACTGCGAAAAAAGGTTTTGTGGAGAGTGATATTATTATTATTATTATTATTATTATTATAAAGAAGGCTTTACGGCCTTCAGCGGCTTTAAAGAAGGTGATATTATTGGTAAAGAGGAAGGCTTTCAGGGAAAGTAAAGTTATTCCCAAAAATCTTTCTCTCTGAAATTATTTAATGTTTTACGTGAAAGAACAAGTATCAACTCCATCTAGTCAGTGTATCACCTATTCACTCATAACCTTGTAGCTTTGAATTTGTCATATACTGACTGACTAAATGAATAACCCGGGCAGTTTACTTGCAGGAAAATCTTGAACTGACGCCTATGTCTTCAGCACTCGTTTAAGCTGACATATTTTATTGTCTAAGAATATTACGTGTGCTTTTGTCCTTGTTTGTTTTTCGGCGTTTGCAGTAATGAAAAAATCCATCGATAAATGTTCCGACAAAACAGATGAAACTTTTGCTTCATCCAAAACGCTGCCTCTAATTCAGTAATTCGAGGAGGAAGTTTAAGCCATAAAGTTGGCTTTATCAGCGTCTTAATTTGTTAACACTTAATGCCCCCGCCATGGTTGGTTAAATTAATGAATTAGATAGCGTCCCACTATTATCGATGGCAATTTTCCGTATGGCACACCTGACACATTGTGCAAAATATCATCTACCTACACGCGTAAACAATCAATTTTTTTAACCTTAAAGTTTTTTTTTATTAAAAATTTGTTATGAAAAATCTGACCGATTTCCGTAAAACAGTGGAAACCGGTGTGGATCCGCGCCTGAAAATTAGGCACATTGCAGTTCACATTTCATTTACATGTCAGATCCTTCATAATAAGGTTCAAAAGAAACGAAAACCTGCTAGATATCAGCTGAGATATGAAGTATATACGTTCCTGTGTTAAATTTGTCAAAGAAACAATCCGACATAAAAGTAAAGAACTAACTAGGGATGGATCACATCAAAATTTCGTTTTAATAATCCGAAAACAAAAGTCTTATGCAACAACGGTAAAGACTTCCCGCTATAAGTTCAATAGCCTATTCCTAGACAACGTACCTATCATAAGTTGCATGAGTTAAGGAGGTTAGCCATGTAAATATGTTTTCTGTAAATACATATTATGGTTTTGCAATTAGGTGTAAGTGACAAAAATGACAATTTCAGACATTTAAGGCATCTCGCACTGCTATTCTTTTGCTTGATTATATCGTGTTCGTATAATGACTTCATCTGACTCCCGCCAAGAAAATTTTAGATATTCAAACGGCAGTCGGAAGTAGACTTGATAAATTTTCTGAAGTTGGATCGAAGTGGATGGAACTGCCTTGAGAATTACCTTCCGCATAAACATGGAAAAAAGCTCTCTTCTAAGAATTTCTACCAAAAAAAACCGGAGTTTTCAGACAAACTCAACTACTGCCCTGTAGCCAAGTATTTTGCAGATTAGTGCACGATATTCAATGAAAAATATATAAATGTAAACACAGAATAAATATGATTTTTGTGGTAGCATACCAACTGGCTCTTCTTCTACCACATTCTGCGAGGAACTGGAACATTCTCGTGGTAAGGAAGACAACCAACAACAAACTCAGGCCATGTTGGGATGCATAGGCAAAGAAAATGAGAAAGAGGAGAGGAAAAAAAAAACAAAAACTAAAATACACATTTTACTATCGTTTGTATTATAAATTTTTCTCAATAATCCATCCAGCTGATGAATGGCTTATTTTACTCTAGTTACCAGATGGTGTGTCTCTTCCTTTTGAATGTTTTAGAAAACAATTTAGAGAAGACAAGGCAAGTGAAGATAATATTTGGTGTTTTATAGTGATAACAAGTACATGAACGGTTCTTCCAAGCAAACCTCTAAAAGAACCTACTTGTCATTTTTCCTGTTTCATAATCATGCACGGCTCAACCAATGAATCGAGTTTTTATCTCCTCAATCTCCTTCTGAGTTCACAAATTTAAGACCGCTTTAAAAGAAAATAACCTTTTATTTACACGCATTTCCCAAACAAGAAAATAATAGAACTGTAGTTTATAGAAATGGCTGTTTTACGAACTCTTCACATTTGGGCAATCAGAAACACAAAAAAATATTGCGCAAACACATGTATATACCCCATGATATGTTTCCACACTCTTCCTCTTCTTTGAATTTTTATTCTTCTCATTATCATTTCATTTTATTTATTTTGTTTAATTTTAAAGACGGCGATAACAGTAAAATACCTTTTTTTGCACGGCAGGCAACCGAAAAGTGTACTGAAATGGAAAAGAGTTTATTATTATTGGAAGGTTACAACTTTCAAAGAAATCTTTCCACGAGAGTAAAAAATTCCCTGCCTTAATTGAGGCTGAATCACACTGACAAAACCTAATAATCCCATAAACGATTGCGCGCCTTTCTGGTTCCCAGGTCATCTCTGTGTTATAAAAAAGAAGAAAAGAAAAAGAAAAAAAGAATGAGAAAAAGAGAGAAAAAAAGAAGAACAAGATGTGGCCCATTCAGCCTTGGCCTAAGAACTGGCAGTGTCGTATTAAAATAAAAGGTGGGATCAATTAAAAGGAAAATAGAGACCCATTCAAAGTATACTAGACTTAAAAAACTCAATTTCTAATAAGTTTGCTCCTACATGGAACTATTTCAAAGGAAATTGGATATAAAAACATATCTGAGCCGTACGTACCCAGTCGTTATTACGTGTTTTGGGGGTGAGAGAAGATTGGAGGTTAAAGTTGAGGCGTTTCGGCTTTCGTATTCGGTTTCAGCGTGAAGTTTGGGCCAACATGTTTGCCGCGGAAGTTTCTCCAGCCATCACTCACTTGTCGAGCTTCTGAGGCTTCGGCAACCTACAAAATCATCCTGTTTCCTTGAAGATATACGCGTCCCTTTTGATTGCAAACAGCAAATCAATACTAAACATTAAAAGCAGAAGACGTCCCACGTCATTGTATTTAAAAAGACGTCCATACAAAGTTATTTTACGTGGAATCCGTGCTAAACACTCTGCAAGTTCACTGAAAGTCTTCATTTGCAATTTTTGTTTACCCTCCAACGCCTCGCTTTCATGACTAGGCACCAGTTTTTTCCCGCGTGTCCGCCATTTGTGAATACGGTGTATTTTTTTTGTTTTTTAGTGCCATATCAGGTCTTAAATTAAATAAGAAAAAAACGAAAGCAATGTAGATTAGTTCAGCCAAAAAAAAATGAAACTAAACCTCCTGGTTTTAAACCTTTAGGAATAAATCTATCATACAGACATGAAAAGAACGATAACTTAAATCTCTTTATACATAACATAGTTAGAAAATTCCCCTAATCAAATTCAATAGCGCGAGTGCGCTTCATATTCCTATTGAGCACGCTGATGACATCAATAACTTAGCAATCCTGAGTCTCCTGAGTGCACACATAACTCGGCAGTACACGATAAAGCGTTTACCATGTGTTTTATAAGGAAATTTAAGAGGAAACGTTTGAATTTGTTAACCGATAGTAAGGAAAAGAGGTGAGTGTTGTTGTTGTTGTTGTTGTTGTCATCTCCGCGAGCTGTGCGGGCTATGGCGTGAGCCTGATCATTCTTTGCAAAGTTGTTTTCTCTCAATAACAATTTTTCGGTGAATTAATAGTTTTCCGGCACCTAAATATGGATTTTACAATCATTTTAGAGTACACTTTCTCTCAGTTTCAGGATAAAAACATAAGCTTAACTGTGAGGAAAAAAATATACTCATGTAAACATTGACGCGTACTGCTTTGAGCGCGCCCTACAATAATAAAATTTTAAGTTAACTGATGCATTGGTCGCTTTGATAATGTTATAAAGCAATTAGTTCATGCTGCAGCTGTGCGTATGTCGAGATATTGAGCACTTGAGAAGTTTGGAGAGCACTCAAGAGGCTAGAGTTGCACTCGGCTGCGCCTCGTGCAACTCTTACGCCTCTTCTTTCGTGCTCTCCAAACTTCCCACGTGCTCAATATCTCGACATACGCACGCTGACGCATGAACTAATTGTTAATTATCAAAATTAACAAAATGGACATAAAGCTGAATATATGGCAAACAAGAGACCTAACTTTATTTGGACGCACAATGTTGGTTAAGACCCTGGGCTTATCCAAATTAGTTTATGCAGCCTCTATGCTGCTTGTTCCTAAAATGGTTATCAAACTGGGGTACAAAAAAAAATAACAAAATTTTTGCGGAAAAACAAAAATGATAAAATAAAAAGATCTGTTGTATATAAATCTCTGTCAAACGGTGGACTTAACTTTCCTAACTTTCGCACGCTTGAGCTGGCTCGGCAGGTTTTTAAATCGTACAAATGAATCATGGCAAGCAATCCCAAATGACTCCTTCACAGATATGGAGGGTTACTTCTTTTACTGAAGTGTAATTATCATTCTAAACTGTTAGACAAACAACCTCCTCAGTCTTTTGTAGTGAAATGTTGGATTATTTTAAGGAACTGCGTACAGGTCACCCTGATGTCTATAGAAGTAAATTCATTCTTTGGAATGACAAAGAAATCACGATATAGAGAATAAATCTATATTTTGGTCACATCTTTTTTAAAAGGAATCTGTTTTGTTCAAGACTTATTAGACGAAAACGGAGGGGGTAAAAATATTAAGACACAGGACTGGCCTTTTATGAAAAAGTTGTCAAACCATATTACGATTGAAGCAAATCCACGTTTCCTGGAAAAGTAGAAAAAAAATTGCTTCGGCGGTTCTTTGTCAGCAACAAAATGTTACCCGTATAACGCTCGGCTTAGGAACCTATCAACTATTTCTACTAGCATAATGTAGGGTGCCTATACGCACATACACCTATACATACAGCTGAAATCTGGAAAAAAAATGTATAGAACTTTTGCTTATTTCCTGAAAGCATTTTTATCATTAATTCGGGATAAATATTTGGCATTATATTGGCGTTTTTTTGTTAGGATTTCCTTTATCCTTTTACTGATTGAGTGGAGTGAACTGGATCCGAATGTGAAGTCACAGACCTTGGTTGAAACTTTTGACCGATCGAACCACAATTCTATCCTGGAGTACAATGTAGCTCTCATAACTTTGTTGGCTTATCCTGTGTCAGCATGCACAGCTGAGCGTAGCTTCAGCGGTATAAAGAGACTGCAAACTCCTTTACAAAGGACCATGACAGACGAGAGATTGAACTCTCTTGCAATTCTGCACATACACAAGCACAATGACGTAACTGATATAATTGATGGCATTACAACAGATTCTGCCTGTCTGAAAGGTACCCATCTCGCCCTTTACTTGTAACGTCCTTGATGACGCGTCACTGTTTTACCCTTTTTTTTGCCGTCACCAGTCTGTACTTTACAGATAACACTAGAGATGGGTAAAATAAACAACTATTACAGTATTTTCCTTCGTCTTTATTTAACAAAAAATGTCCTAAAGAAAATGCAGGAGATGGCATTTCCGAAACCCCAAATTTAAACGTTATCTGGGGGGAGCATGCCTCCAGACTACCCCAGGATTGGGGCGCCAAACTTTTCCCCTGGGTGCAACTTCAAAATCTCACGCTATGCTGCCGACTACGGGTGTTTTATAGCTTATGAATTCAATGCCCAATTTTAAAACTTGTTATTGCCAAGGGACGGGGGAGATGGAGTGCAATTGTCATATGTAATTACTTTGGGAAAGGGTAAAGTTTTGATAAACCACACTTTTCTGAGAAACTCCGCCCCCCACTGGGACGTAATTAACGAACGGTCCCTAACTCTTTCTCGTTCCTTGCATTTCCTTTCATTTAACAAAAATCCAGAATCCCTTGCTTTTCTTGCGAGATCGTATGCATCTTTCTGAATTCAACTCTCCTGGCCTTTATCCACGGGGAGGGTATTGCTTTATAAGAGGCTAATGGGCATATGCCGCTGGATGGGGTCACATTTTCACGACGGGATTGACTATAATAGGGTCGCATTTTCAATAGAGTTACTAGAATGGGGTCGCACATTTTCGGATTTTTTGGGATAAGACAGTTCTTCATATTTACGGTCAGCAAACGTATCAGAATGTTTGTACTGCAGAAGAAAAGGAAAGTGTTCTTCATGTAAAAATGGGTCAATTCATAAAAATAGAAAGGGACTAGTTGGGATCGCGTACATTACATATTTGCCCAAAAGTGACTAAGGTGATGGGGTCTATAGTTGGCCACAGAATAGACTATAATGGGATAGGGGCTCTTAGAGGCCAGCGGCACATACCCAGCAAAAATTAACTCAAGTACCGCCCCCCCCACCCACGCCCCTTTCCGGGCCTTTATCTACCACCTCAGACTTGGATTAGTCGTCTCAATTGCATTTTTCACATTGCTATTGCTCCACGGATACTCTCTGGGGACCTGGGAACATGCTTAAACTCATACATTGTGGCAAAGGCTGATACTTTGTTTGAAGGGAGGTCCAATTGTCACTCTGGAAAGTATCTATTATTCCATGCTAAGCAAAACGTCTCTTCACCTTTTCAATCAACGCAGCTCCTGTCTTTGGCTCAAATAAAAGGTTCCTTTTGTTGGGAAGTTTAAAAAGGTGCTGCAAGTTTCACACTTTGAGAAAGTTTATTTCAGTTCTTTGTTCATGCTGGGTCAAACACAACTTCACCCGTCTTTTCCTACCGATATGTTATTGTTAGGCTTTTCTTTGTCTTTGGGTCTTGTACTAATCGAGATGACACACTTTGGATCCTTGAAAATGATACCGTCTTGAGTATCTCTATCTTTGAAGTTGTCAGGCAGCTCAGTGGGTAGGCTCTTTCTTTGGCTACACCATCCAGAGGCGGATACAGACTTCAGATAAGGGAGGGAGGGGGCGCAGTCATTCAGACCCTAATATAAGGGGGAGAGGGCGGTCTTAAAAAAATTTTTCTTCGGCCCTTCGGGCCTCAGTTTGGTCCAAAAATAAGGGGGAGACCCGGGCCCCTCCCCTGGATCCGCCACTGCCATCCGTTTAGAACAAGAGAATTCTCTCTTGTTTAGAATCATCACTTTCAGAGAGTACAATACGGGATCTATTAGTCTTTGGCAGTTTCTTCACGGATTTCTTAAATCTTCGATTCAGACACTGAAAAGAATTCACGGAATGGATTCTCTCTACTTTTCTATTTCCAGTAGGTTCTCCTGTGGGTTCTGTAAAAAATTCAGCAATCATGACCTCATAATGACGTCACATTATGTCTATGCCACAATCAAGATATGTTGGAAATGATGAGTACATAATTATGTGTAATTTTGGTGGCCGTATCACAATGAAGTTAAAAGCTTTCAACATTTTCTTTGCTTTGTGTTTATTATGTTCTGGGTTGTCAGGGGCTGAAATTAGCTTGCTGTGATGGCGAAGGAGTCTATATCTTTCTTAATGGCCTGATTAAAACTCGAAATTCATTTCTTTTTCTTCTTTTGACTTTTAATATCCTTCTCATCATATGTCCTGTAGGTACGAAAAAATTCGACAAGTTTTGGAATTCATCTGCTAAATTTCAAAAGAGGAAGCTTAGAGGATAGAAACTCCATCTCTCTTTTCATTATGAACTTACTGGTCGCATTCCATTCGTATACTGAAATCAAATATTTCAAATAGTTGCTATTTTACTGTGGACCACCTTTTTCGAGGTCAGAGATCTTTTTCAGTCGAGCAAATCACTACAACTCAACAGCAGCGAGGTGTATGGGTAGTAGGGATATATATGGGGACGCAAGGGGAAGGATCATAATAAAAGGCTCTATTTGATTTGATTGATTGATTTACTTACTGACTAATTGATTGATAGATAGATAGATAGATTGATTGATTGATTGGTTTGATTATCATATCTATTTTATTGTATTTTTTAAGTTTCTGTTCCAGTTTTAATTTTAGTGAATGTTTATTAAGATTTTAGCTTTCTTAATATTTTTTATAAAACATTTCATTATAATTGTAATTTTGTAATTTTTAGATTTACTATTGTTTCGACGTATTATCGTTGTCACTGAAAAGCCCTCTTTTAGGGAGTGTCGATAAAGTTTGTATTGTATTCACTGTTGATTGATTGATTGGTTGGGTGATGATTGATTGATTGTCTGATTGATGCAACACTCAATGTCCGCTACTAATGTTTGATTGCTGTCCCCACCATTCCGTTGGGCTTTCTTCCATGACCGGGTAGGGGAGTAAGGTCGTAGTTCACTTTATACAACATTAACTTCGGGGAGGAAATTGGGATTCGCCAATATTAAAAGTGTAAGTGTGAGAAAAGAAGACGGTTAGAAATTATTTTAGTAATTTGATTGTTTCTTTTAATACCAATGGAAGGTTACAATCTCATTACAGCTTAATAAATATTGCGTTAAATAATATAACCACCTTAACTACCATTTGTGGTGAAAACAGCGTCTATAGCATTGATTTCTAATAACAATAAGCAAAAATTAATAAATTATTATAAATTTGAATTGAAACCATCTTCTAAGAGTTCTAAATACATTTTTACAATACGCAACAAACCAAAACTTCCACAGTCGACAGAAAAATGCAGTCTGTGAACATACCCTCTGGTGGGTTACAGGATGAATGAAACAAACGAGAAAGCGCGATCGGCGGAGGGGGCAAAGAGGAAGAAAGGATGTCCTTCATCGCCGTGCTCCTTCAGCAGGCCGTTGACAGTCTACTGCAAATGTTAGTGGATCATCTCTATCTTTAAAGAAATACACTCTCTTAATTTCTTTACAACCCTCTGCGCATATCACGGTGGGCACCACTGTTTCGCGGTCTATCAATTTGAGCTGGTATCTCTCTACACATGGGTTCGGTGTGGTGTTCCTCTTGAATCGGATTGCCTTATTCTGGCGTTAAGATGTTGCTCTTCGTCCTACCGGTCTGCTTGCTCCGTCTGAATGCAAAGCATTCTCGTCTCGATTGTCACTAACTGCCATGTCATCTTTTTTTTTTCTGGGGCAATAACGAGCAAGCCAGACTTCTCTTCAGCAGAGCCTTCAGAGATGCTTTGTTCCGTAGGGTTTATGTCTTGACGAATTTGCATGCAAGGTTGAAATTGTCGGTTTGCTTTCTGCTGAATTTCCATACAACGAGAAAACCAGTAGAAGAACAGCTGAGGTCGTATAAATGACACTTTTCTAAAGGAGAAGAAAATTAAAAAGTCATTCGATAAGTACAAGTTTCCCCAATACGACCATTATGTAAACAAGTGAAACAATATACATCAAAATAACAAGCCAACAAACATGAAGAGAGAGAAAAAAATGAAGTTACCAACTGAGCTAACAGGTTTAAAAACTTGAGGTTTTGAACTCTGGCCCTCTCTCAGAGCGACTCAAAGCTAGAGATTTTGGGTCTGTGTGGTTTATAGTTATCGAATGGTGGTAACATAAGAAACAAACAAACAAACAAAAAATAGCTGATTGAAAAGAGACCCTGTCGCAGTTCATGATTTCTGCTTGAAGTAGTGCTAAATTTGATGGAGACGCTCTGGAATATATTTTTTGTTGTTGTTTAATTTTTTTTGTGCAATATTTCTTGCCAATATTTTGCAAAACTCAGAGAATCGGAGATAAACGACTTAGTGTTCGAGGGGCCATTCGAGAGGTGATGAGTGTAGTGCTGTCATACTGCAAAACGTAGTTTAGACGGACGACTAGCTCCTGCAAAGGTAGTCGTCTGCTTAATTGCTTCTCTTTTTACAGAAGTTTTGAAAGAAGGGAAAACCCAATCACAAGAAAAGCGAAGCAAGGAAAAATATTTTTTTGACTTTCCCCTGAATCATCAATTTGCACTTACCTTTCTTTCGCAAAATGCCATTTTAGTGAATTAACCCGTCAGGCTAGTCGAGGTAGTTCTGTTGCCTTAAAAGCTCGAATATACTCAGAAGTGTTCTGTGTTCTTTCAACTCTCTGAATTGGACAGTCCAGAAAATCTGACTTTCTTCTATAGCTTCACCGGAAACCTTGAACACCACTCGACTATTACTCCAAGACATTTTTAGCAAATTACGCCTTTCGTCCAGTTTAGTAGTTCAGATTTTCTAATGAAAGAAACTCTTTCCAGTTGATCTTCATGGATGGGAGTTATCTTCCTCTACTTATGCAGAATGCGGATCTGAGTTGGAACAAGTCATTGTTCTGTGTTCTATTTTCGATACCATTTGCACTTTCTTTAAATAAAGCTTTTCATCCTCTTTAG